TTTATGAAAGTCTGGGGTGACAACATAGAGCTAGTGAATTAGCCAATTTGTAAATACCTTTGTTGTAATTGACAGAAAAGATGCATCTTGGACATGGAATTGTAAACCACCTCTGAACAATGAGTGTCAGGACTTGTTCATTAGTTGGCAGCAGAGGGGCAGAAGGAACTATAAAGGGAGAGATGTATGCAGATGTGTCCATATTTACGTTTTGATGATAGCCGTTAATGTATGCATCTGGCTGTACTATAGGAATATATTAAATAATTCAGTGGAAGTATACCTTGCTAATATTTTAATGGTATAGATCTGCTAATGAGCTCTTTTAGAAGCATTGTACTTAGTGTAATCTGTTGCTGTATGCTTCATTTTAAATTGAGCATTAAGGGAATGTAGTATTTAAATCAGAACGCTGCCAATGCTTTTATCTACAGGCGTGTTGCCATTTTGGTCTTCTATGAAATTTTTGTTCCAAGAAAGACAGGATACATTTTTTTTGAACAGACTGAGTTGGTGTATTGTATTCTTGGTTATCAAAATGCTCAGATTGCTTTGGGATTTTGAATTGGTAAATATTCATGGTGTGTGAAAAATCATGATACATACTATACAGTCTCAGTCCCATAAAATTGGATGTTGTGCCTATGGGACACAAAGGACCTAGAAGAATGTATCAAACTATAAACGGCTTGTGATTGTGACTTTGTTCTTTGCTTCTTGTGTTTTTCAGTTTCCTCTAATGTACCTAACTTCTTAAAAGTACAGGTTATTTTAAAAACATGTATTGCTGGGTGTGGTGGCACGTGCCTGTAGTCCCAGCTACTCGGGAGGCTGAGGTGGGAGGATCACTTGAGCCCAGGAGTTCTGGGCTGTAGTGCGCTATGCTGATAGGGTGTCTGCACTAAGTTCGGCATCAATATGGTGACCTCCCAGGAGCGGGGGACCACCAGGTTGCCTAAGGAGGGCTGAACCGGCCCAGGTCGGAAACAGAGCAGGTCAAAACTCCCGTGCTGATCAGTAGTGGGATCTTGCCTGTGAATAGCCACTGCACTCCAGCCTGGGCAACATAGCGAGACCCCGTCTCTAAAAACAAACAAAAAACATGTATTAAGCCCTCGTTGCTTGTGGAATAAAGTTAGTATGCTCCACAGGAGGAAAAAAAAAAAAAAAAACCTTCAGGCTGGGTACTGTGGCTCACACCTGTAATCCTAGCACTTTGGGAGGCCAAGGTGGGTGAATCACCTGAGGTCAGGAGTTGGAGACCGGTCTGGCCAACATGGTAAAACCTCGTCTCTACTAAAAATACAAAAAGTTAGCTGGGTGTGGTGGCAGGGGCCTATAATCCCAGATACTTGGGAGGCTGAGGCAGGAGAATCACTTGAACCTGGGGACAGAAGTTGCAGTGAGCTCGGACCTCGCCACAGCACTCCAGCCTGGGCAACAGAGTGAGACTCCATCTCAAATGAACAAAAAAGAACCTTCCTTACCCATTTTGTTTTCAGCTTGCTGTTTCTATTGGGAGGATTTCCAAGTGCCGGGAAAAACGGACGGTGTCCAGGTGCATGTGACTCTGGCCAGGGTCCTCATCAGTATGATTCTACCTTATGAAGGTGACAAAGCTGGCAGCATGTGGGCACACAGCAGATACCCAGTTTTCATTGCTTACTCTCATTCTAAAACCACCTTTTTCCAAACTCCTAATATTCCAAATGGATGGCAAGGGGTGGGGGAAGGGGAGACAGTGCTTTACCCATGAGCTGAGCCCACAAATACCTGTTTTAAATTTTGTATGTATTTTTAATTTTTTAAATAGAGATGAGGGCCGGGTGCCATGGCTCATGCCTGTAATCCCAGCACTTGGGAGGCTGAGGCAGGCGGATCACACGAGGTCAGAAGTTAGAGAACAGCCTGACCAACATGGTGAAACCCCATCTCTACTAAAAATACAAAAAGCCACCTTGGCATGGTGGTGTGCGCCTGTAATCCCAACTACTCAGGAGGCTGAGGCAGGAGAATCGCTTGAACCCGGGAGGCAGAGGTTGCATGAGCCGAATTCGAGCGACTACACTCTAGCCTGGGCGACAGAGTGAGACTCCCAGACTCTGTCTGAAAAAAAAATAGAGATGGGAGCTGGTACAGAGGCTCATGCCTGTAATCCCAGCACTTTGGGAGTCTAAGGCAGGGGTATCACTTGAGGTCAAGAGTTTGAGGCCAGCCTGGCCAACGTGGAGAAACTCCGTCTCTACTAAAAATACAAAAATTAGTTTGGCGTGGTGGTGCATGCTTGTAGTCCCAGCTACTTGGGAGGCTGAGGCAGGAGAATCACTTGAACCCGGGAGGCAGAAGTTGCAGTGAGCCGAGATCGCACCACTGCACTCCAGCCTGGGTGACAGAGCGAGACTCCGTCTCAAAAATTAAAATAAAATAAGAGATGGAGTGCTCACGATATTGCCCAGATTGGTCTCAAACTTCCGGGCTCAAGCAATCTTTTGGGCCTCACAAAGTGCTAGGATTACAGGCATGAGACACCACACTCGATCACAGATACCTAATTGATTCACATTTTAAAATGCACTTCATACAGTTTCACTTGGACCACAAAACCCTGGTATTAAGCCAATTTTAGAGAAATTGTGACTTGCTAAAGGTTGCCAAGTAGGTGAGTCAGAGAGCCTAGATTAGCCCTGCATGTTGTGCGTGCTAGCATTTCCTTATGATACTGACCATCATTTATGTCACTTTTGGGAAAGTTTTTTTGTTTTTTTTTTTTTGAGATGGAGTCTTGCTCTGTGACCAGGCTGGAGTGCAGTGATGCAATCTCGGCTCACTGCAACCTCCGCCTCCCAGGTTCAAGTGATTCTTCCGCCTCAGCCTCCCAAAGTGCTTAGATTACAGGCGTGAGCCACTGCACTGCCTAATTTGCCATTAATAGACCTATTTTCTCCCTCACATTTCTAAGCTACACATTTGATTCTTGCTGGTTTATAAGGTATCTTCAGGTGATTGGTTCCAAGGCTCCTGTGGATAACAGAATCCATGATGCTCACATCCCTTATATAAATGGCACAGTATTAACCTATGAATATCTGCGGTATACTTTAAATCATCTCTAGATTACTTAAAATACCTAGTATAGTGTAAACAGGATGTAAATACACTGTATTGTTTAGGGAATGGCAAGGAAAATAGTCTGTTTCCTAAAGTGACCATGAATTTTTTCAGAAAAAAATTTTTTTGAAACAGGATCTTACTCTGGGCTGGAGTTAAGTGGTACTAGCTTAGCTCACTGCAACCTTGAACTCCTGGCCTTCCGCAATCCCACCACCTCAGCCTCCCTAGCAGCTGGGACTACAGGCACATGCTACTGCACCTGGGTGATTTATCTTTTGTAGGTATCTCTGTTGAGAAATGCTGAGTGTGTGATGAGATATATTGTTTGCTAGGAAGAAAGATGGGAAGGAAAACTTAGCCCCCCCAGTAGAAACTACTTGGAGTTTTCTAAAGTGGCGAGACAACATATAATTATCACACACCAGTTAAAACAATTATTTAGGGGTGGGATGTGTGACCCTGCCCCCTTGACTCCCTTGTGAATACTTTTAAGTTTGTCTGTGATCAGCGGTAAGCGGACACCAGCTGCCTACTTGGTCTATTTTTGTGTTGAGAAAATATACCGAACATGTTTGTTAATAGTCACCTGTTCACAGAGAATAAATATGTGGGTCAGAATCTGCTCGAGGCCCTCAGCCTGGAATGCTGTCACCCCCCGAGGCTCTCAGCTTGTAAGGCCGTTGGCCCCCTTGATGGTCCCAATTTGCCGTTCTATCTGGGTATCTCCTTCTCAGTTCCTTCAGCGCCACCTGGGTGGGGATCTCTATGGCTGAGCTGGTCTCATAGATCTCACTTTGTTGCATAGGCTCCAAATATTCTCAGTCCTCAATTGGCTGAATTAATGGATGTGGAACTCGGGGATGTGAAGGGCCGACTGCACAATGAATGATTGCATCACAAAGTCCTTTCTAACCTTAGGGCAATAGGCCAGTGCACCTAGAGGATTATTACACATCCTTCTTGTAGCAGTTACTCCTACCAGGGAGAGGCCAGGCCAGTCACGCTTGCATTTTGTCAGTCAGTTGAAAAGAAGGCAATATGCTGGGGAACTGGCCAGGAGTGAATTGTGCTCAGAGGCTCTCAGAGCCTGTTTCAGAAACTGAAAGTTTAGGCATTCCAAGAGCACAGCTGATAGGAGGCAAGGCAGCAATTGGCTAAGACCCTTAATCACCAGCACCTCACTCACCTGACAGTGATGTAGCGCTCTGAAACTCAGAAAAAAGAACCTGTAGAAGCCGAGCATGGTGGCACACACCTGTACTCCCAGCACCTTGGGAGGCTGACGTGGACAGATCACTTGAGGTCAGGAGTTCGACACCAGCCTGGCCAACATGGTGAAACCCTGTCTCTACTAAAAATACAAAATTAGCTCTGCGTGGTGGTGGTGGTGCATGCCTGTAATCCCAGCTTCTGGGGGTGCAAGGGGGGGCGCGCTGAGGCAGGGGAATTGCTTGAACCTGGGAAGTAGAGGTTGCAGTGAGCCTAGATCACACCACTGAACTCCAGCGTGGGTGACAGAGCAAGATGCCATCTCAAAAAAACAACAAAGAAGATTGCAGAGCAAAATGTAGGCTGAAGATCAACTAGAAGATAATGAAATTTTGAGCTTTCCATGAAGGATGGAACTTGGCTCACTTAAAAGACCTGCTGATCCTTTTGTAGTTAAGTGCGATGATTGGGTTTTCAAACTCATAGGTGAGGTGTACCTCCCTCAAACCTGGTTACATTGACATATTACCCCTCTGACATGAAAAATGTGGCCTACTCCAAATTGTATCCCATCCCTTTAAAGTTCTTCCCCAGCACGGAGTGGGTGATTGCAGCTAGCCTGAGCGTTTTAGGAAGAGGAGGCTACAACACTTTAAGCAGAAGAAAAGCAACTTCAGGGGAACTGCGTATATTGATTGGTTTTTATTGTCAATCAGGAGTGCCCAAGGGAGAGAATATGGTCATGGGTTTAGTTTCAGTTTATGGTTAGGCCAGTAAAGCCCCTTCCTCATCCCTCTTTTCCGTTTGTTACTATTGGCAGAAACTAAAAACTGCAGCTTCAGGCTGCTAAAAGCCTAAAACAAAACAGAACAAATAAGGTGGGTGGCACAAGCTTGCTTGGACACAGTAGGGGAATAGGGAACCCACCCCAAACAGGCTTATTCCTGTTCCTTTATCCTTCACTTGATTCAAACAATGTATTTTTGAGACAGAGTCTTACTCTGTCACCCAGGCTGGAGTACAGTGGCATGAACTCAACTCACTGCAACCTCCGCCTTCCAGGTTCAAGCAATTCTCTTGCCTCAGCCTCCCAAGTAGCTGGGACTACAGGCAGGCACCATCACACCTGGCTTAAAATAGTATTTTAAGCAGTTTCCTGCTACTGATCAGCTTCCTTAACTCCAGGCCCACAGGACCAGGACCCTTGAATCGAGCAGCATGTTTATGAGTGAGCCACTCCTTACATAATCCCTCAGGGGAGCTCTCAGATCTGGGTGGATGCTATTTCATAACCAGAGGATACAGACTAGATGAATCACATCTTGGAAGAAAATCACTTTATTCTAATTAACTAACTCACAAAGAATAAAATCATAACAGCTAGTTTAAGGAGGCCACACAAACATCTGACCAGCTCCAAATTCTACAGAGTAGGAACACCCCCTTCGATTTCAATTCTGAAGCAAGGAAGCTAGAATGACAGGAGAGGTTTAACTGATGGCTACACTTTACACCTTCACTATTAATTAAATTTTTATATGAAGTTAACTTGGTTATGAGAGCTGGTTTTCCATTTCTCCAGTTTGAACTTCTTGATTAGGCCAATCCTGCAAAGAGAAAAAATAAGTTAGAAGACTGCTGGCTTCATACACTCAACAAAACAGAAGCCATCCAAATCATGAAAGCAGAGACAAGAAGCCAAGGTTATAGGTTT